ATGCAAAACTATTTAAAATTAAAACGGAACAGTAGAGAAAATCCGATCAGAATGACAAAATAAACTAAGCATCCACTGGAAGGAATCCCAATATCTGCAGACGGATCCGTTTCGGCCTTCCAGGCCCCAGGCCCCATCAGTGCAGCTAGGGTATAAACCCAAACTAGTCCCACGACCACTGATAATTACAGAGCCAAACCAAGGCAATATATGTACACAGTCCAGGTGTAAATGCAAATAGTGGAATACAAGCTATGTGGCTTATTATTATTATAAATATTATTATTATTATTATTATTATTATTATTATTATTATTTAAAAATTACTATAATAAAATATATAATTATTCGGGCTTCACGGTTTTGATAAAAGCGGCACATATTTCCTAAAGTGCTTCTAGCCAGCAGCTATTTACAAAAATGACATTTTCAATAAATTCTAGGTAAAATCTGTTTGTCATTATTTCTAACTATCTGATTTCAATCTGCATTCCTTGCACTGGTATACCGGTAGTACTTAAGCACAAAATGCCTATAGATACATCACTCTGGCCTAATATTTAAGCCTAAAGCAAATACACAGACCTATAGATTAAATATAATTCTTACGATATCGCCCATAGCTGTACAGGGAGTAGTCATCATAATGCCCACGTATGGGTTCGATTGTTGTAATCAAGCAATAGAATAGAAAGGCGTATATAAACACTCCACAGAGCCACTGACATCACTGAGCCATCACGTTGGAAATGGCAAAATATAGGCCTGCTACTACACATAATTACTACTAACTACGGGTAAACAAAGCACCTACTTTGACAATAACCCGTTGAGAGTATACAGAAGACAATTCCAAGGAACAAGCTGAAAACGTTCGAACGACATATATCCAAAACCATCCTGTACCCCTTCCAAAATTCGGTCCTTTTTGGATAAAACTCTGAATTCCCACCTCAAATTTTAGGCATACTGACTACTGTTACTAGTTACATCAATCGAAGCATTGTGTTTCTATTGCAGTCTTTCATTCATGCATGGCTGGTCTACAACTATAGCCGTTCCCATTATTATTGTGTCCCTAAGTTTTGCATAATTAGCATCAATTCTTTCGTTCTTTCATTCAACGATTCAGCCCAGTGCATCTTAACATTCTCGCATTATTAATAATCGCTGTTGCTAAGCTGTTGACAGTTTATTGGCTTACACTTTTAAAAAGAGACATATACACCCAAAGGAACCGCGACCCTTATAAAACAATTCACATCATACATACACACACACACACACACACACACATATATATATAATAAATCATCAAAGAAAGGTAAATACAGTGTTTAATAAAGGACATTAATACATCGCGTAGCATAGCTCTCAACGAATGTAGTCCTGTAAATAAATGAATAAAGAAATTGTGTAATAAAATGCCTCTGGCGGGACTCGAACCTGCGACCTTTCGCTGTCAAGGCGAGCGTCATAACCATTAGACCACGGAGGCTTCATGGTTGAACAGATTCAAATACCACCAGATACACTCCATTACACAATAGGTACGACTAGAAACAATATAGGTACATATAATATAGATCAAGATAGCCGTTAACATTGTTAAATTATATATAATAAATCATCAAAGAAAGGTAAATACAGTGTTTAATAAAGGACATTAATACATCGCGTAGCATAGCTCTCAATGAATGTAGTCCTGTAAATAAATGAATAAAGAAATTGTGTAATAAAATGCCTCTGGCGGGACTCGAACCTGCGACCTCTCGCTGTCAAGGCGAGCGTCATAACCATTAGACCACGGAGGCTTCATGGTTGAACAGATTCAAATACCACCAGATACACTC